ACACAATTGATGTGTGTATGGATTGTGATAAGAGTTGTATGAGCCCCTAATAAAATGATTTAAAAAAAATTTTAAAACCACACACACACACACACACACACACACACAAAAGAATTTGCTCACTCTAAACATTTACTACAACAACATAGCACTAGTTATTAAATCCTGGACTACTAACTGAAAGGTTGATGGTTCAAACCCATCCTGAAATACCTCGGAAAAAAGCCCTTGTATTCTGCTTCTAAGAGGTCCCTCTGCCATGACAGCGATACAGTTTCACTGTGCAATAAATGGAATTGCCAGGAATCACAATAGACTCGATGACAACTTTTTTTGTTTTTGAGCCGGGGTGGGGTGGGGTGGGGGGTTTACGATTCTAAGACACAGACTTTATTTTCCAGGAAAGTACAACAGAAACAACAGAAAAGACAAATAAAGATCCAAGTTCCATCTAATTATCAGAACACATTGTAAAAATAACCTTCCTTTAAAGACAGGTTGGGTCAAGTCTTCTCGTGATGTTCAAAAAAGGAAGCCCAGGCTTCTGCTTTCCATACTCCATGGCTAGCGTAAAGCCTCTTTGATTTGCTACCATCGCTTTAGTAGGAATTCAATAGATCTGAATGAGTGCTTAAAATCTCATCATGCCTGGCAAGTTTCTCTTCTGAATCTCTGTACAATCACAGCATTAGAATGGAGACTTTAGAATTTATTCTAGTCCATTACTTTACACACCCTCAAGCATGATTTGTTGAGCTGGTGATAGACTAAGACAAAACTGGACTCTGATTTTCCATTCTAGAATTCTTACCCTACCCTTGCACCTACAACGACAGGAGTAGAGGGATGAATTAGACACTATACTGCAACATGTGGTGGCCCACATATTTGTCACACTCAGTAGCCTGATGAACTACATGGAGGTAGGGGAGATGTGGTGACTTCCTTATTTAAAAGCCACTAGTGCTAATTCCCATTTTCTGGTGTAGAGAGATCATTTCAAAGACCAGAACAGGAATTAAGGTCATATTAAAGATGCAAATCGGGCTTTGTAGGAAGCAAAAGATGAATAAAGTGGTGGGAGTCAGTCTCATACTAGAGTTTCTACCGGGTTTAACTCCTAGGGTCTTTCTTTGCTAGAAAAGGTATCCTCAGCTGTCCCTCTATTTTTTTTTACAAATAATTTATTTTGATTGTTCTTGAGAATATACACAGCAAAGATACATCAGCTCAACACATTTCTACATGTAAAAGTTTTAATTCATAAAGGCTCCTTCTCATTTTTGTTGTGTGTCAACATCTCTACCTGTGGTTTATTTATTTATGTGTTTAACTTTTTACTGTGAAGTGGGTGAAAGTTTACCCAGCAGGTCTCCAATGTTACATTCAACAACGGGTACACATTTTGTTTCATCTCATTGCAGCCTCTGCAATGTAACATCATTTATCCCACACCCTCCTTTCCTGACCCTTCTGAACTTTGCTCTTAGATCATTGCTTGGATCATGGCCATTCATTCTTAAACGCAATTATTCTCCCTAGTGTTATTGTTTCCCTTATGGACCTAACTTCTTTTTTTTTGGCTGAAAATTGAACCAAGGGAGTGAGTTCAGCACCACAACCTGCAGGGTCACTAATGGCCATAGTCTCAGGCGTCTCACTAGACTTAATAGTCTTAATCCAACCAAGAAGTTTGGTCTTTCTTATGATTTTGAGCTTTGATCCACATTTCCCCACCCCACTGCCCTATAGCCATATATCTGGGACCATCTAATTGATCACTTGTAGAGCAGTTGAGGGTGGTAGCCAGGCATCATCTAGCTCGTAAGGTCTCAGGGTGAAGAAAATAGATGTCCACGTGGCCATTAGTCCACTGGACTAATTGTTTTCATCACGCTTACAAAGATAAAGCAATAGCTTCATCAGGTATCCATCCCTCTTGTTTTCCCCATAGGCCCCAAGGATTGGTTTTAGTTATTCTTCTCACGGTTATGATCTATGGGCATCATGGCGTATGTACAGCACCAAGAAAAATGTATGTGGCATTTCCTTATTTTTTCATCTGTAAAGCAAACAGTGACCCTTCAGAGCGTTCTAAAACATTTTTATTTCATGTGATAAAAGGAAACTGAAAAAAAGGAAATTCTTACTATGGCTCCTTCACCCCATAAACCTATTTATTTTACATGGTGTGTTGAACGATGGCCTGAAATTAGTATACATTTTAAAGGAAAAATCTTTGAGAAATTCCTTCCAATTTCATCATAGTATCCAGGACAAGGCACATGTGGGGTGACTGCTCTAAAGAGACAGGGAAGGAAATGTCTAGGATCTCAAGATAACCTGGGCGACCGTATTACTAAGGAGGAAGGACAGGTACAGTGGAGGGGAGCAGTACACGTACACATTTCTCCCATCTCTTCTTATACTTCTTTGTTATTGCTACAATTCTACCAAACTAGCCGGAAAAAGATGAGGGGAAAATGTAAGCCTGACACAGTAAGGGAGAAAGGGCTGTCAAGGTTGAGCACAAGTATGAAATCCATAACACCAAGGAACTACTGGGAAAGAAACGGAACGCAGGGGCCCTCGGCGAGGTCATACAAAACAAAACAGAAACAAGAAAAGCTTGGATTCTTGATTTTGCTGTGATTGTGGCTAGCTCTTCTACGACACAAATACTAATAACATGAGATAGCTGAGCTATTTTAGTGGCTAATGTAAACAAAATATCAGGAAAACGTGTCTACTTACATCTTGTCCATTAATGCCAGCCAGACCCAGGTCACCTTTTTCTCCTGGTTCACCCTAGAAAGAAACACATTATACAATGAAAAATACTATATATAAATATCTTGACCAAGATAGCAATAGCAGCAAAAAGAATAAACAAACACAAAAACAAAAACCTGGAGAGTTATGCCTAGTATTTATAACAATGTGATGACTTTTCTAGTGCCTTGAATGAAACATTTATTTAAAAAAACAACAGTACTAAAACCAAAGTGAAGTTTAAAGGTTGACAGGAAAGCTGCAAACAAGTGGTTAAAGCGTGAAAACAGAAAAAAAAAGGATTATGTATTTTCTTCTAAAAGAAGCAAAGAAATATTTCTGGAGGCAATATATCTTATGACTTAATTCTGTTCATTGCACTCGACCCAGTGATTTCACTTCTGAAAATGAAAATGTGAAGACCCCACGCTGGCGCTGAGATGCTTCCACCACCACTGGATCCACAAGACTTCCCACCCACTGACCTGTGATCTTCCTGCATTCAGCGTCATTGCATGTGTTTCATGAGTCTGAAGAGGAATTTATAGATTGGTATCAGACATATGGACTAATAATATCTGACTTATGGACTTGATCTGGACTGGGCTGGGATGTTTTCTCAATATTTAATTGCTCTTGTATATAAACCTCTTTCTTAGTCACATGCGTGTCTATGAATTTGTTTCTCTAATCAACCTTGACTAACACACTATACTCTAGCACTTTTGGAGCCCTGATAGCATAGTGGTTGCTAACTGCAAGGTCAGCAGTTTGAACCCACTGGCTGCTCCTCAGAAGAAAGAGGAGGCGTTCTACTCCTCAAAAAGAGCTACAGTCTCAGAAACCTACAGCAGTCATTCTACCCCATCTATGAGTCAGAATCTACTAGAAGGCAGGCAGTCTTGGTTTTGGATTTTTTTTGTAGTGTTTTAAAATAGTTTTGTAGTAAACTTTCATTATCGATGTAATATTTTACATATAGAAAGAACTCATCCAAATCTATCATAAAGTGTGTGGTTATCTCTGCTTTGTACACTAGAATGATTTTTATTGTCTTCCTATATTTTTCTGCTTTCTTCAGCGTTCTTCTAGAATCAACATTATTATTTTAATTTGCAGAAAGAGCTAGCACCTGATTTCAAGAGATATAATGTTAAATCCTCTACACACAGAAACATACAGTCTCCAACATCTAAAAGTATATCTATTTCATAGAATGAAAACCATATAGAAAAAACATAAAATAAGCTGATCACTAAACATAATAGATATGTGTACAACACACAGGACAAAGTACATAAATTCAGTGAGATAGACTCAAGTTAGAAATGAAGCTGAGGAGCGAGGAGGTATTTTAGAGCCATGCTGTCCAACGTGGTAGCCACAAGCCAGTCCAGCATTCGTTTCACTATTACAAGTAAGGGAAAGGTTGTTCATTCCAAATCATCAACTCAGGAGAAAGGCCTGATGCTGGTCTACTTCCAAAAGAGTCATGGCCTTCACAACCCAGTGGGCTGCGGTTCTTCTCTATGACCCACGGGGGTTTGCATTGACTTGATTTTGGTTTTAGTCCTAAGTGACTGCTAAAATTCAAATTAAATTTAAAACTAATACCTCAGTTGCCCAAACTACATTTCAAATACTCAACAGTCGACCCAATAGAACAATGTGGATTTGAACACTTTCGTCATCTGAGAAAGTCTTATTAAGATGCCATATATGGCAGAAAGTAAAATAAGGGTTAAGAATCTCAGAACAGGGTGGAAGAAATATTTAGTAAGGGGATTAGAAAAAACAGTGCTCAGATGTTGACTTAAAATGTGTTCAATCCAAGTTAATAGAATTCACTGAAATTTTTGACACAAGAAGAAAAATACCATTCCTTTGATATGACCATTCATTTTCAGAATGTAATTCATTGAATACAGGTTTTTACTCAGAAATAATGATTTTCGAAGATGGAAAAAATAAGCAACTCTACATATTTAAGAAATGTGGCCAGGAGGAAATCTGCAGACTTGACAGTGGTAATAAAAGTTAAGTAATAATAAATACCCATATAGGAAAGAGGGTTGATATTTTTTTTTCAGCTCAAAAATGCTTAGGATCTTTATTCATTGCATTTCACTTTTTTAAATCATTTTATTGGGGCTCATACAACTCTTATTACAATCCACAGATACATCAATTGTGTAAAGCACACTTGATGTATCTGTGGATTGCACACTTATACATTCGTTGCCCTCATCATTCTCAAAATTCACTTTCCACTTGGGTTCCTAGAATCAGCTCCTCATTTTCCTTTTTCCCCTCCCCGCACACCCCTGCCTCATGAACCCTTGATAATTTATAAATTCTTATTTTATATTATCTTACACTACCTGGCGTCTCCCTTCACCCACTTTTCTGTTGCCCATCCCCCAGGGAGGAGGTTATATGTAGATCCTTGTGATCGGTTCCCCCTTTCTAGCCCCCTTCCCTCC